ATTTGTGTTTCTTTCATTTTCAATGGGGACTATGAGCAAAACTAATGCAGAAATCTGGTTGATTATTCTGCTACGTCAGGGACTTTAATGCACATTGTCCCACCTCAACAACCTCAGACGTTAACGTTGCTGGCGCTGCATCGAAAACAGTGTCCTTCACTTGTTCGTCGTCGAGTACTGTACAAGCTGGGATTGCTTTCAAATACCTAAATGCAAGTAGTTTTGATGAAGAAATGATAGTAGCGTGAGACCCACCTAGGCTGCACAGACTCTCCAGGTCTAGAAGTTTGTGGTCGCATGGACAGAACAAAATTTGATAGCGTTCGCCCATTGGTAGCTATAAACGAGTATAAAAACTGATAGAAGGCTACAATTCAGCGATTAGAGATCCTTACGCTTGTTACGGACGTCTTCAGCGGAACCTGATGAGGATACGCCATTATCAAGCGAATCTGCGTTTTCCACTTTGGGAGTCTGTAAATTGATGGTCGACGTCTACTCGTCTAATTTTTTTGTTCAAAAAATGAAAAGTTATTAGGAAATTTTCAGCTTTTGTCAAACCTCTACATATGATGAAAGTTCAGAAGTTCAGAAAAAGAGTGGTCATATGTCATGAGTGTGAGCTTTATACAGCTAATCAATTTTCTTTCTGGATTTTTTTCATAATATATTGAAAGCAGCGCAGTGCCGCTTGAAGCAACACAACATATATTTACCATTGCTTCAAAATTACGGAGCGTCATAAGATATTTATGCTACTCCATTATTATAGGGTATTGATTTCGGTAAAATGAAGATTAACATTAATTTTTGTCGTTGTCGTCAGTTTTGTATTGTTTTGTTGTTTTCATTGTTGTTGTTGTTTGTTGTTGTTTTGTTGTTTTCGCTATAACAGTAAGGAGAAAAGCGATAAATCGTCTTTCATAAGAACATTTTAATACTTATGCGAAGCCCTTGCTCTGCAACACCACAAAGTGTTAGAGTTTGCAAAATTGTTACCTTATACTCAGGTTGAGTCAGTTTTTGATCCAGAACTGCAGAAGCCAGCTTGTTGTTATTGTTGACCATTTGTGGGAAGATGGAAAGTGGATTCATGCTAAAGTTGTTTTCTGTGGCATAGCTTGAGGCGAGTAGTCAAGCTAACAATTAGCGTTTGTAAATTTTTTCTACAGTAATAGACTTGGATTCCATTAAAGTGAGAATCTTTGCAAAGTTAAAAATTTCCAGAATCAGTTCACGAAAAATTGTCTCCTTTGGTATTTCGCAATTCTTTTTAAACTAGTGCAATAAACACAACTCTCAAAAGTGCACCTTTAAGGGAAAAGAAAGATATCTGAATGGTAAGACTGCACCGCTTTCTCAACCTCTCAGATCAATTTTGAAGACAATTTTGTCGAATTAAAAAGAACATATGAGATTATGTACCTCAA